GTTTATGCAACTTCTGTACAATTCTCATGGACACCCAGTATACAGCTGTACTTTAAAGAAGCACTCTAAGCACCATAACAACTTGAATGTGAAATTCAATGAGTCTCCTGGTGTCATCCCATTGTAAGTAGTCAAAATGTCTTCTAACAGCTTAACACTTAGCTGTTCCACTGGGGCCCCAAATTAAATCTTCTCTTTCATTATACCTAAAGTAAAAGTTCCCTTTCATATAAGATATATATATATATATAAGACGTATTTAAATATATACAAAAGAATACATCAAATATATAAATACTTCTTATATGTAATTGTCTGGGGATATCAACCAATGAATTGCATCCAAAGATGGATGACATAGATGGTATTTATGAGTTTTGGATTTCCACTTCACTGAAATCTGAAGAGGAAGCCAAAATGCAGGATCTGGTGGTCACATGTAGGCTAGCATTCTGGAGGTTCTAAATGTTCCTGTATATTAAATGTTTAATGCACCCAGCTACATATTGGCACATTAAGACTTTTTAAGAATTCTACACAATGTCTTCTTGTCCTATATTATTACAATTGTGATTTTAAAATAAACCTTGTAATACATGCTAATATTCTGTGTAAAGGCAAAAAAAAAAAGTCTGAAGGATGGAAGAGGGAGGGTGCAAGGTATTAAGCATTGTAGATTTTATTTTACCTATTTAATATATGTTTATTCACATATTTGTGAGAAATTTTTAGAAACCGTTTAATACATTTACATTTGTTTACATGTATTCATCAGATACATACGAATTTCAGAACCAAATAAAAGTACCATCCGCGTGACATTTAATGTGACACTTTAGTTACAAGGCACTTATAAAATAATTTAACATTCTGCTTTAATGGAAAAATACATTTATTTACAGACTAATTGCATTTTGTGAATTTATTCTGATTGATGAAACAAGTGTGTTGCAAAATCCTGAAAATTAAACATTTAAGTTTGCATGCACCCTAAAATATTAAAATTAAAGTTAAGCTTTGGTTTATACTTGTATGCCATGCAAATGTAATACTCAGTCAATACAATATTAACTGGCAGTTAATTTGGATAAAATTAATATACATTAATCCCATGTGAGATTTGTTTTAAGGGTTGCATTTTGAACTTGTTACGTGGGTAACTTGTTTTCTACATTTATTTCATTAGTGAGATAACAAAGATGAAGTATTGCTAAATATTGCTTTTATTGAATGAAAAGAAAAAAAAACACAAAATTTTTTCCCATTGTGCCTCTAAATAAGTCAAAACAAATCAATCATATTTCTACATCCTACTTGTGTATTGTCATATAACTCTTAAAGGTTTGAGACAATGCATTTAAATGATAACTGGGATCACCAAGCACCACTGGCTGAAGAAGAAAAACAAAAACATCTGCCAAATAGCCTACATGCAAAGACATTGTCACAAACAAGAATACAACTAAGTTAAAAACAATATTATGTTTTATTTATTTTTATTTTTTGCATTTATTAAGCGCCAACTTATTCCTCGCTGTTTTACAATATTTAGCAAGTATCCAAAAGTTATACATTTTAAATATCCTTATATTGATAGCAATATAATTAAAATATAGATGATAACTTTGCTAATGAGAACAAAGAAGAATAGGAGAAAGCCGTTTGGTATTTTTTAGTGATTGGTGACAAACTAGTAAAAAAAATGCCCACCTGGGAATACTTCATGATGTTATAAATATAATGGATGATTTTTTAAATTATACATATCTCTTATGTGTTATACCATCCATCCTTTAATTAGAAAAAGTGCAAGTATAGTATACAGCAAAAATAAAATGCACTCTTGCATGTTAAATATGTCATTGTAAAATGATAGGTACTTATATGGAGTTGATCTTTCTACAGCCTCTATTCTTGGGAATATTTCTGCTAGATAGTGGATCTTAGTTTGGTGGATTTGAATACATTCAGCTCCAACATCATCAATGATCTTCTACATAGATGTATGTCCAGGCTCTTATTTCAAATCATATATATTTTAAATCCATGGCCCTAGGCAGGCCAGTCAGATTCTTTCACACTTGTCTCAATAAATCATTTTTGATAGGAGTATGTTTTGTGTTGAAACATGAAAGAGTTTTATTCACAACTGATGCCACAAAGTTAGAAGTACAAAATCATTAAGGATTCCTGGTAGCTTTAGTAGGGCCAAAACATGACAAAAACTGATAAGGTTGCGTTCTATTATGTCATGCTAGAACTGTAAAGAGAAAAATTGTGTATACAGAGTTCAGTAATAAAATAAAAAAAGAAACTAAACTTATAAAACAAATATGGCAATGGATATAGGGATTTGATCACAACCTGCACACATACTGTTTTAATTGTAAACTTGCATTTTACAATGGAAGTTTCTGAAAACTACTGGGTGTGGGAACAGTAAGTATTCTTTTAGCATCAAGACACTGACTAATGGCAGAGGGTCAGGCTAATTGTTAATTAAGCTGTTTTCTGCTCAGACTATTGCCAATCTAACAGTGACCTTTTTAAAAGGGTCAGTATATGACCCAAAACCACTTCAGCTTAGAGCATGCTTTTGCATCCTCACTGCACAATTATCAGCGGTTTGAGAGTTAAATAACTTTATTTTTGCAGACCTAACTATACATTCTCTGTCCATGACTTACAAAGTTTCCCTACACACCACATGAAAAGAAGTGTTTAGTTGAAATGTGTATGTTTTCTTTAGAAGTTATAATCTCCTTTTCTGTTAATTGCCTGTTACTGCACTGCCAGCAACTTCCTGTATGAGATTAATAAAGAACACAAATCTTCACAGAAAGAAATAAGAATCAAAGAAGCACATTTTAGATGAGGAAGTGAGTATTTGTTTTTAAGTTTTTAAATTTGTATACAATCCAGTAATTATTTATCTATTTATTCATATAAAATTCAATACTTAATGATTCTATAATTATTCTAAATGTGCTTACTGTGAACACCATGCTTCTTTTTGAGGAGTATTTCACTGGACCCTGCCCAACATGAACAAGGGAGTTAGTACTGGGTAAAGAGGAGCTGGATTAGCTTAAAGGACCACTATAGGCACCCAGACCACTTCAGCTCAATGAAGTGGTCTGGGTGCCAGGTCCATCTAGGGTTAACCCTAACTGCTATAAACATAGCAGTTTCAGAGAAACTGCTATGTTTACATTGGGGTTAATCCAGCCTCTACTGGCTGTCTCATTGACAGCCGCTAGAGGCGCTTCTGTGCTTCTCACTGTAATTTTCACAGTGAGAAGACGCCAACCTTCATAGGAAAGCATTGAGAATGCTTTCCTATGGACTGAATGAATGCACGCGCGACTCTTGCCACGCATGAGCATTCGGCGGAAGAGGGAGGAGAGTCCCCAGCGCCAAGGGAGGAGAGTCCCCGGTGCTGGAGAAAGGTAAGCCTTTAACCCCTTCCTCCCTCTTCAGCCCGGCGGGAGGGGGGCCATGAGGGTGGAGGGGAATGAGTTTGTTTTCCTGGCACTATAGTGATTCTTTAACTACAGAACATGCATAAATGTTCTTGGGACTATGAATCATTTTGAAAAACAAATTAATTGATATTTCAACTGCCTTATCCAAGTGCTTATCCTAACTGTATTCAGGGAGATTTGAGGACTATATATGTAAGCATCTACTTGAGTTATTTAAAAAAAATAAAAAATAAACAGATGTTTGAAACCATGTAATATGATTGACCTTTATACATTTATCATCACTTTATCTCTTGAGCCGGAGAATTGCCAGGCTGTTTTTTTTTTTTATACCATGCAACCTATTTATTATAATTATCATATTTAAATGTACATACAGTAATATACATTTAATAATATAAAATAAAACATAAGTCAAATATTAACAATTCTAGCAAATTGACCAATAAGACATGCAGTGCCAGTCAAGCAATGTGGTTAAAAGTACATGAAGATCAGCAATTGCAGATCATGGTGAAGAACAGTACACTACTCATCTCTTATCTGGTTGTGAGAGGTCATATAAATAGACATAATTAATAAAACAATCATAATTAATCACATAATCACATAGGTCTTTTTATCATGGGAAAGGCAAATGACTATTACCCCACCAAATATATGGAACATATAAATAATGTTGGCATCCCAGACACCAATATTACATCACCAGGTGAGGACATAGTGAATGGCTCTATATCTTTCTCCACTTCTAAAGCAGGTAAGAGATAAACCTGGTGGAGACCTGGAAGTCTACTCCTTGCTTCACTCAATGTGTGGTGGGTAAAGAGTAGTAAAATACTGGGTAGGTGCCTAGCCTTTGGTTCCTGCTCATTTCTCCACCCTCTGTGTGGTGTGGCAGGTAATAAAATAATGGTATAAAATAGGTCCCCGAAGTCCTCTAGATAAATTTGATGGTGTCAATCTCTATGGCCCTAATAAAACAAATGATTTACTGCACAATACTGAATAGTACAAGGTGATGCCAATGCTAGTTATTTGGTTGTAACTAGCATAATTCAGGTTATATTTAACACGTAGCAAAAATACAAGAAAAACTCATGCTTCTGAAACATTATACAGATTATTTATAGAATGTTAGCAATGTAAGATACACAAAAAGCTAACCTAGGGTTCAATATTTCATCTATTTTACTGTGCTGTAAATGTAATACTATAGCCATGTGCTGTAAATGTAATACTATAGCTATAATTAAGAATATCTGTTTGAAGTATCTGCAGTGTAAAGGATCCTGCTATTCGTGCAGCGCTGATCCTTGTAGCTTCTCCCGAAATCCAAGCTGAAGTAAAGTAGTGATTATAGCTCCCAATTCCCCAAACATGAGTTGAGACTTCATGAAGGGGTAAAACGATCTGCTTTATTGATGGCCAAACTTAGCCCTTTTATGATGGTCTCTCAGCAAAGGAACTCCCATATGGGACCTTGTGGAAGACTGTGACAAAATATACAGAGCCAATCAGTATACAACACAAAAGTTAAACACACCCACAGTAACAGTGCAACCCCTCCTCTCTATCCTGGAGATAATTAACTTAAGTGGTGGAAGAGAACCTAATTATCTCCAGGTAGAGAAAAACATGTCCTTTTTATATTTTCACAAAACAGTATTAAAATCTATAACTTATATTTCACCGAACGTAGACTCTAAGTTCCACATACACCCAGATAGCTTGGATCTGAGCGCACATTCTAGCCGAATAGCGCTCAGATCCCACGAACACAGGAGTGAAGTTTTAATTCACCGGTTGTTCGCGGGATTGAATCCGAAAAGTGTTCCATAACTGTAGCTATCTGGGGACGGTCTGTTTCGTATAATCCCGAACGGTAAAGTGTTCAATGTATTCATGAGTTTTTAGCCGTATGAATGGGGAACATGGTATGCGCCAGCGGT